TGTTAATGGAAATAATGAAATAAAATATTTATATTTTGAATTGAAATTGAATTTTACCTTATCCCACATCGAATGTCAATAGAAAATTAGAATGTGATCCCTCCTTTAAAAAGAAATATCATGATGGTAGAAGTCACTATTAGGTTTGCTAGTAAAAACAGGTGGGTTTCAAGTTAGTTCAAATTTTTTTAAAGAGCATAAAATCATTTTATTTGGAAAAAAATGGATTCAATTTTTCGGTTTACTGTTAACCGGCCGATTTAACTATTTATTTGATGATTTTCAATGTTTCGTTTAATGTATGACGATTTGATTCCAAAATTGATTTTTTTTTCTTAATTTTTATTAATTTCGGATCGGATTATCGAATCAGATATCCGATAACATAGCAAATCAGTCGGATATGAATTTAACAATCAAATATCCGTTGGATTAATGGATCGAAAAGGATATAGGCAGATATGATCCATATCCGACCCATTTAGAGCCCTAAAGATAACTAATCTATATCTTGCTTGAAAAGCAAAAAATATAAGGTAATTAACACAAAGTGTTCCTACCTTTCAATATTAATTTGAAAAAGGTTCCTACCTTTAATTTCCTTTTTTTTTTTTTTCACATTTCATTGCGAAAATCATCATTTTCATCCATTTACTAAATTAAAAGTTGTGAAATAATGAATATATCATCTTATTTAAATAAAACAAAAAGAAAGAAAAGAAAAATAACGACCAAATTGCAATTAAACTCCTATTTTTTTCAAAAAAAGTACAAATAAATTATAAATAAATAATTAAAAATCAAAACTAAAAAAACAAATATAACTTCACCCACCCCACTTGTTACTTTTCTTCTCGATTTCCCTCTGTGCATTTTTTATCTTGATTATTTCAGTAGAGAAAATGGAAAAGAGTTGTAATAAAGACTTGTACATTACGATTGCAAGATTTGTACCGCAACATGAATTTCATTCTATGGTTCGTATTCACTGAGCATTCTCTCTTCCTTCTCTATGTTCTCCGTCACACAAATAACATGCACTCAAAATGTTATGATTCATAAATTTGATCATGAATAATCGAAGAACCTATGGACGGAAGGCGAATAAATTGATGTTGATTATGCTAAGAGAAAACTCAAAGATCCCGTTTGAAAAATCTGTACCAAAAACTCGTTTCTGCAGTGTTTTGTATTATGCAAAGAAAGGCCTTATCCTCACATAGAAGCCTAAGTTTCTGTAGGGCGTTTTGAAGCCTCTCTATTAATCCTCTCAACAGAGAGATGTAGATGGGAAACAAAGCTTTCTGTCAATGGTGAAATTCTTCGATGCAATATTAAGTCTCCATCTCATTTATCCAACCGCGTTTTTGGTTGATTTTGGCCATATAAATATGTTGTTTGTTCAATTAGTTTATGGGAAAGTGTTTGGGGGTTGACGGCGACTATCTGTAGCGAGAACTCCAGCGCTTTAGGTGGCGGTTGGGTAGTTGTTGGTGAGATGGAGGCCGGTAGCTCCATGAAGTCTCCAAAATAACGGGTGGGGTGGGGTTATTTCCTTACTTTTTAACTTTGATTTTTAATTATTTGTTTGGAATTTATTTATTCTTTTCAAAAAATTTGAGAGTATAGTTGCAATTTATTCTTTATTATTATTATTATTTAAATATGAGGGTATATTCATCATTTCACAACTTTTAAATGAGAAAATTGATGAAAATGATGATTTTCGCAATGAAATGTGAAAATAAGAATGTAGATGCCAAAAAAATGAAAGATATGGACTTTGCAAAATAAAATTGAAAGGTAAGAACGTTTTATGCTAATTATCTAAAATTATATTATAATGCAGATGTAGATTGTCCACTGCTACTTGTAATAACTACTCGATTTGATCCAAATTTGAGAGTAGAAGAGTTATATTCCATTTAGGGGTGTTAAATGGGATGAACTGAATCGTTTCATCGCGAGCCACTCATGACTCATCAAATTATTTTTTTAAAAAAAAAAAAAAATTGCACTTTTGCTCTCTCAAAGTATAATGAATATGTAAATTTGTAAGGAATTTGTTAATGAATGAAATTATATATTTGTAACAATATTCCTTCATTATTTGGGTTTATGATCGACTACAATACCTAAACGGAGTTAAAACTATACATGAATGAATATTTCGTGTACAAACTTTTTTTAAAAATAAATGAAATAAATACAATTAATATCTTTAAAAAATTATACATATTACAATTCTACCTTACCCGTTCCATTACAAATTTGAAAAGAAAATGGAAGGTCATTTTATCTTTTTGAAGCCATTGACAAATACACACGTGTGCTCCTATAGTCCTATTCGAGTTCTAATATTGCATATGTCACGGGACGTATCTCAATCTAAAATATTTCTTCCATACAAGTATTGATAAAGTCACAGTTCTGCGAACAAATCCAAGACTATATTGGAAATTACCAAACATTGATAATATTATGGAAACGAGATTCGAGTTTTAGAGAAGACAAAAATATATTTAACGAACATCGTCATTTTGAAATTAATAACAAAAAGTGATTATCAAAGTTATTATAATTTCGTTCGAAATTTATGTGAAATAATTAAACAGAACTCCATTAATAATATTTTAGAAAATATGAGGAAAATTACAGGGAAAGCAATGTTTATACCTCCACATTCCAATTTTGCACACTCTAATTTACCTAAATACCTTCTCGTACATCTGCATATGTCCAAACAATTTACCAAAATGAAAAGAAAATACTAACTCCTACAGATGCTGTAAAAAAACATCGTTGACAATGCTTGTACAATAAAATTAATATTATGTAAAGAATGTGCAATTATTTGTGCAATACGATGAGTAGGTTCATATGCTGTAATGTGTTTAACGATAAATATTTTTTTTATTAGAGTCAAATTATCATCTACGAAATATAATACTGTCAAATATACGTAAATTACTACCAACATATCACGACATCAAAGATTAAAGAAATACTACCTCTATAATTTAGGACGAATAACTTTAATTCTTCTTTCATTTTATCGGACATTGTAACACAACTAGCTTTTTTGTCGAATTTTTGGAAACTTGGCAAGGAACTGAACGCACACAATCTATGTTCCAAGAATATAATGATTAGCTAGCCATTAATGCTTAATCTTTGTTCTTTAGCAGAATTTAAGGAATCTACTTTGGATGTTTGATGATGTGTATATATTTCGTGAGATGTAATATTCTTAGCGGTGGGACTACTAAGGGGACAGCAAGTTTGGGATAGCAGATGTTGGGACGGACATTTTTAACGGTCTGTACCAAATTAAGCCCCCATTTGGCATCCATTTTTTTATCAAGTTCGAACACGAACTTGTATTATGTGTGGGCCCCAGTGTCTTTCAACATGTCATACTTTGCTGGGATCCGTTTCCAACACGGTTTTGGGTACAAAAGTTGGTACAATTATTTAGATTAAATTTCAGAAATGCCCTTATATTGTGTACAATTGCAAATTAATTTGAGGCCAAAATTGGAAAGTGTAATGCAACGGTCATTTGAATTTCTATTTTTTAATGATAAATGCACTGTTGTAAAATGAATTTTTCCCTAAAAACGGATGCCAAACGGGGGCTAAGTGGTAAATTTTTTTTATTTCCTCGTCTTGTTCAACCAAAAAAAAAAAAAAAAAACTAATATCTTTCTAGAAGATTCTAGGCTAAATTGGAAAGCAAATAAAATGAAAAAATGTGGCCAATGGATTGTTTGAAAAAAGAGAGATGTAATCTATCAAACAAAAGCACCATTATCAATATAACAAAAATGTTTTCTTATCTACTACTCATAACTTGCTAGCACCACAAACCATTTTTGGACGACACGTAATAGAAAGATTTTTGAGAAACTTGGTCCACAAGTAGATTGCATAATAAAACAAATTAAAACACACGTGTACAAGGTTATATTTGCTTTGTAACCACAAGTTTTGATTCATTTTGAGTCTTTGGCTTTGACACGATAATTCCTATCGTTCGTACATCTTTTCTTCTGATTAGCCCGGGTATGCCCGAAATAGTTGTATTTCACCTATTTTTTGTTCGCCCAGTCAGGTATGTCCGGTGTACTTGTATATGAGTTTTGATCTATAGTAATTTAAATTTACCGATAAAAAAAAAATTATATATATATTGTTTCTTAAGGAGGAACACGCCAAATATCAAAACTGTGACCTTACACGTTACTGGTTAGAGTTTGGGCACATTCGATGCCGGAGCTCACAGCGACAGCCAGTACGCTATTTTCCCATGGAGAGGGACGGGGAGTGTCAGACAGCAAGAGCGACAGATATAAATTTCCAGTTCCTGCAGAAGCGAGCGACGAGCACAAGGGGCATAGCCATGGTAGAGCTACCACAACGGATGGCACGTCTGATGTTCATATAGTGGTTAAAAGAGGGAATCTGGAGATTCGGGCACAGCTATGGCACCAAGCGTAAAAGGAAGTGAACGGTGTCGCTTTAAAGGTCCAACTCCGTGCACAAATTGGCATCTGCTAGTGAACGGTTAGTTGATGAGCAAGCTGCAAAGAGCGCCGAAGACGCTGCACTCCACACTGCAGCGGAAGCTGCTATCCCATCGGTCCAGAAGTGTTAAGAGGTTGCATTTTGTTCAAATTTGTGATAATATCTTCCAATCAGGACATTTCTGGTTTCTGCCATATCAGGGAATACATTCCCCTGATTTATAACTATTGCAAAGAAAATGTGAATTCGAAAAACAGTTCACTAATTTTTAGAAACAAGTTGTAGAGTAAACCGGCCTAAACCAGCGTGACCATCAAAATGTGAACCATACCCTAATAGATGAACTAAAAATTTCTTTTTAACAGTATTAAAAACCTGCAAGTTTTCTACAAGATCATACCGTTCACTAAGTTTACACTTTTGTCAACATAGAAAGCGCACAGAAAGTAAACTTAATTTTCCTGATTTCATTCTTAGTCGTCAGAGGCACCTTCTGCATCACTTTCCTGCATATCCATGACATGATCAGGCTCCGAATGCCTCTGCAATGGCTCTTCTTCATCCGACTCCGACCAAGCTCGTCTCCCTCGAATCACATTTGAGGGAGGTGCAGCCTTCAACAAGGAGAGAACAGGATTTAGAAGATCAGTTCATGTACAAGTAAATAACAAAGAAAATTAAATTGAAAACAGATGGTTGCTTATAGAGAGAGCACAAATGATCGATGATGTACAGAATATTACATGGTTGGAATGAAAAAATGAGACTATACATAAGATGCCTAATGCCAAGTTATATTAAGATTGCCTTTATGGCATCTAAGGGACAAGCAATATTTTTTTCGAAACAGGCACCTAGTAACAGATCAGCTCCATTGAGAGAGAGTAGGGAATGGGGGCTGGGTTTTGGGGGGGGAGGAGAGAGAGAGATTACAGTATCATCCTCAGCATCAGAATCTTCAAGGCCAGCTGCTGCAAGAAGATCTTGAGGATTGTTTTCTACTTGATCATCGGGTACCTCTCTGTAATTCGTATTGGCATCTTCATATTCCACGTCATCCTGATTCTCCATGTCAGCTTCTACTTCTTCTGATTCATAATGTGACGTCTTCTCCTTCTTCTTGCGCTTTCCACCTTTTCTCCTCCTTTTCTCACCATGCCCACTCTCCTCCTCTTCAGTTTGGGACCTATCCTTGCGCTTAGAAGCAGAAATGCTACTCTTCCATTGTTCCTAAAAATAAATACAAGTTCTGAAAGCACGGGGAAGATGTGGGAAAAAGAAATAAGGGCAAATCTATATAGACGTAAAATTTTCAGCGAGAAAAGGACAACCGATGTTTAAAAATTAAAAACCAGTTATAATTGTCTGGAACAAGTCTCAAAGTCATTATAACCACATAATTTTCAACTTTCATACTAGACTAGAATAGGCTGATTATCACTTCACGTGACTAAACACATAAACAGGCAAATTACTCTTCTTTCAGTAAGATCTCATTGAAAAATTGACCAAAAGGAGATGTTAATAAATAATACAATGCATGAACTTATAGAGCAATCAAATAAATGATATTTTTATGCAATTTTTGTTCCCAACCAATTTATTTACCCAGATTGTATCCAGGAAAAATAATGTAGTAGCGCAAACGAGGAAAGGATTTCTTCAGAAAAATGAGATTCTTGGAAAAATGAATAGATCCTAATATTCAGGTACTACATTCCTCGCATATTCCAGTTAACATCGTGAATTACTGCCAAATTCATCTCTAGACCAAAATATTTTCCAATTTATAGCAGTGGCATCTCAGGGAAAAGAATACCATTCCCTGAAAAATATACGAAATTCGCCAAGAAAATTTTCTATGCTTTTACACTACAAAATTTGTAAGGGCGGAAAATGTGTTGGTGTGAGTTTGAAAATACTTGAGCAAGAAAAGAAACAATTTTCAAGAAAGCCTCAGAAACTAATAACATAAATTAGCAACGCACACCAAATTGACACAATAATGATACCTTGATACGCTCTAAATGCTTCTCTTGTTGCATAACTTGCTTCAGTTCATCCTCTTGCTTCCTTTTCTCCAACTGTTTTGAATGGTATGAGCAAATGTAAGACAAAAAATTTATATTTCATGTGAAGAAATGCACAGTAATGACCTGAAACTTTCTTTGCTCTTCTGCCTTCCTGCGGGATTCATCAGCCAACTCCATCTGTTGCATAACTTTTAGCCTTTCCTGATTTTTTTGCTCTTCTCGCTCAGCAAGCTCACAATGAACTTTTGCCGCATCAAGCAAGTGCTGGCAATATCCAACATGAGTTCCAATTTTCGTCTCGTCGAATCCATGAAAATGAAGATTAGAGGCTGAAGACAGCAGGCTGAACAAACGGACAGCATTCTTAAGCTCCGCCACAGTTGCTCGCACCTACCTCATCAGGAGAAGTTCCATAATCAGCAAAAGCAAGTCTCAAAGGGGTAAAGGAAAGGTTGGCAAGGGAAAATTAGAAGTTTGTGGAACCTAAGAAAACATAGAAGACAGAAACTCTAGCAATTAAAAAAATAATGTCCACGAAAATGGCAAAATGGTGGCAGGAGATTGTGCAAAAAATTCCATTGCTACAACTAAGATATAGTCAGTACATGAACTGTTGAAGTGGCATCCTGTGTTAGATTCATATAACTGCAGTGCATGGATTGGTACATCTGGTAGGCAAAGCTACCAGCATCGGAAAACAATGTCAAGAATAATTGTGGAAGATATTCACAATTCCTGTTAAGCAACTTAAGATTTGTTGGAAACAATAATATTCAGCAACGCTAATGATAAACAGGATCCTCAAGCCTCTAGTTAGTATCCCCTTGAAGCGGGCTGCAGAGGGTCTCAGCTGTGCACGTGATTGGTAAACACTTAATGCTCCAATGTAGGCACAGTTCAATTCAGTAGCCTGATGAAATGAAGGAGACAAAATGAACATGCAAACTAAATGGATGGTGCGGTGCCTAGTTTTAACATCTATATAACACCAAGTTTAATACATAAAACCTGGATATAACAAGTATACGAGTTTCCTAACATCATAGGAGTCTGTTCATCAGACGAAAAACCAAATGAATAGCTGCTAGCCTGCTACCCTTCAAGTGAACTTTCTACACTGATGCATGTTCACTTCTATGCAACTACAGCTATTTTTGCAAGGAAGCAGATGACATTTATGTAATATTGTAATGCACAAACCATTCCCTCCCCAACCACCACCTAACTAAAGGAAGGAAACGAGGATTGAGTTGAAGCAGTTATATCGTACATGAAACTTAAAACAGTTACAGCTCACATGACTCCAAACAAAAATAAATTCAGCTAAAAGAAGAGAACCTCATCCACAGTTCTTTTAGTCTTTTGAAGAGTCGATGCTGAGAATTTCTGCATTGCAACTCCTACATCAAACCGAAATGTGTAATTTGAAGGAGCCAAGTGAATGGCTCTTAGTAAAGTCTTTTTGCAGTCTTCCCACTGCTCAGCTTCGTAATGCGTGCGTGCTAAGTAGAGAAGCACTTGACTGTCGGTATTAAAATAGAACTTTCGCAAACAGTTTTGATACTGCAAAAGACACGTGATTTTGAAATGTATTCAAAAATATCTCATAGACTAATATGGAAACAAATTGCTAGACAGACCATTTTCACAGCCAATGCAAAATTGCCTTGAGCAAAGTGAACATGAGCCAGGTTAATCCAGATATCTGGCATCTGGACATTAAAGCTTCCACTTGCAGCTTCTTGTACCTGCAGAAATAGAGAACTGAAGACTCTCAAAAGAAGCATAAATCTTCCCTAGATCACTACTAACACACAAAATGTTCAGCAGACCTGCGTAAAAAGATCCTTAGCTATATCAAATTGACCTTTTTCTGCCAATACCACACCAGCCCCATTTGCTGCATAGAGGTTAGCTGGATTCTGTTGCAGAACCTGGTAGGATGGAATACTTTAGTTGCATGTCACAAGGAATTTTAGCCAGTCCCTATATATAAAATCACAAACAAATAACAAAAAGGAATTCCGACCACGTCGCCTAAACAAATAAAAATCAACCAAGGAGAACTTCCCTGCTTAAAAGTATTTTCTAAAAGCCACCCTCGATAATTGCACTCATTTTTATTAACAAGAGCTTAACTGAGATTTAGAAAGAAAGAAAATAGGAAATAGGACTAGCTATTCAATTTAGAGATTTCGAAGATAAACGCATACTTTTGTGTACAGTTCCTTAGCCTTCTCTAAATGTGTAGCTTCCAACTTAGGAGCTCTTTTCTCATTGCGAATGGCTGCAAAGCAGTTCCAATTTCCCTTGCAGATATCAAAGTAAGATCATAAATACCAGATGTAATCATTAATACAAGAAACCATGATTGTAAAATTGCCAAAACTACGACAGAACATAAACAAGCATAATTTCCTTCAGATCTGCACGAGGAAAAGGAAAATAGCAGGAAAAAACCTTCAGCAAGTTGGAGATGCATTTTTATTGCTAACTAATAATCAGAAAAATTTAACAGAGAAAACATTCAGAATATGGTTATACCAAACAAACTGCAGCATAAGAATCTGTCCCATCAGTTGCATCTTTAGCAGCCCGGAAAGTTTCCTTTGCCTTGACCCAGTCATCATTCTTAAGCTCCAAGTCACCGAGCATTAGCAAAGCATCTTGGCACTTGTCATCCACCTTCAGAGCATCACCAATCTAAGACCAAAAACATCTTTGCTTGAAAAAGACCACAAGGGAATAAACATGAAAAATAATTTCATAAAATCGCTAGAAGGACATAACAACCAGTTCAATACTGAGTTGAATATTATTTCGAGCTTTTGCAATGGCAGCGAGCCTCAGATAAGCATCTGTATAGTCCGGATACTGAAATTCATGATATGATAAAGGTTAGAATAAATTGCAAGGAAAATATACAAGCAAAACAAGTCTATGATACGTAATACAGAATTATTCTATTCAATCAGCCTTATTCAACTACTTTTAACACCAAACATTGCAGATGAATAATATGTGCTGGTTGGGGATCAATCGCAAACTGTAAACATCATAGAGGATGGTGAAACTTGAATACTCTCAAACATCTGTACCATGCTGCAGATATAAAGCACGTGGGAAGGGGTAGAACAATGAGGAGAAAGAATGACGATGAAAAGGAAAAAATAAAAGATTATATACCGACGTGAATTTTCCCCAAGTCTGGCAACTCGAATCGAGACAGAAAGACAATGAAGAAAAGGGGATAGAAAATGGTTTGATGTCATTAGAGTAGATGATTTGATTCAGCCTTCAACTCGTGCCACAAAAAATGAAAATTTGATGCAAGCTCTATCTACAGAAATTCAACCTCAGTACCAAATCACTAGAAAATTTAAATGAATATGCAACACTACATTCATGTTTGAGAGTTCATGTCTAAAAGAGGTAAACCAGTTCTGAAATGTGCTTATGCATCAACTTGGGGAATCTTTATTCACGGTTCCTTTATCATTTCAATGGCAAACTATCCCATTCTCTGCTTCTACTGCCTCATTGGTTTTCTTTTAATGAAAATTAAGGGGTAGTACTGTACAAATTCAAATGACAAAAGACTAATTGTAATAATGAAGTAATTGATTAGTCAGTTATAGTTATAACGTAGGCTTATCTAGGAAATCAAAGCATGATATTTCTCCTCAAGGCATGCAATGCAAAGAACTTGCTAGAAAAGTACGCTATATTGCAAAATTATTTCTCTCTAGATGAAAACCAAGTTTAAGACCATTTCCATTAACCTTTGTTGTCATCAATGCCCATAATATCTATCGGAAAGGGAAGTGAGCAGAGTAACCGTGCATACCTTAAATAGTATTAGACGATAAAAGATGCTAGCCGTTTCGGTGTCATGCATCTGCTCCAATACTCTGGCAAAATTAAACAGTGTTGAAACTTTATTCCAAGGAAGTTCGACAGATGTACCCTGTTCCTCAAGTCGATGAAATAATTGAAAGTCCCTGGGTTGATGGAGAGATGAGCTGGCATCAATTGGATATAGTGCACTATTTATTAAGATGGACTGGACTTTGCGACTAGGACTTAATCTTTCTTCACTGACATCTGATTGGTCCACATTTTTAAAACTGGATTGTGCTTTAGCATCAACAAAGTTACGCCATAAGCCATCTCCCAGAGCTTCCATAAAGGCTTCACCAGCAAGCTGGAAATCCACAAGCCATCAAGGTTACTCCTAGAAACAATCAAACAATTCACTACTGAAGTATATCAAAGTCAAGGAAGGACTTGTAAAGACCTCAAGCTCTTCCTTGTCAAAATGGAGAGCCCCAATATTGTTGAGCAGCTCTATTGGTACTTCCTCATTTCCCTTTTTCAGAAGATTACGAGCCTGTATGAAACCACCAAGTTTCACTATTGTGTTTCAAATCCCGCGAAAAAAAAAAATGTTCACAATAGTTTGAAAAGAAATAACTGCAACAGAAACTAAGAGGTCAGGGCTCTCTCTCACCCCCATTTGAGTAAATGTTCAAGTCTCCAAAGAGAAAAAAATTTAACACATCAAATAGTCTTTTTCCGTCAAGTTCCTTGAACCAAAAGGCATCTCCATGAGGACATGAAAGACAACCTTAAAGAAACAGGACCCACGGCAATAGGATTTCAGTGAAATGGTTGAGAACTCTCTCAGAAAGATAATAATAAAATAAATTATATCAGCAACCTTTTCCCTACTCTCCATCCCTCCAGAATGGGAAGCATAAGAAGAAAAGTCTAATGCATTTGCTGAGAGTAAGGTAGAAATAGTGAAAGAAGGGGAAAGAAGAAATTCTTTAAATACACACTCAAGGACATATTAGCAATGTCTTTGGAAAAGGTACGAAGAGTCTTTAATTAAATGGTTTTATAAGAAACAAGTTTCAAAGAGACAGCACTAAAATTTTCAGTAGTTCTTTCTCCCATTCACAATTAACTCTGTAAAGGTGTGAGATTCTTTAATTACTTGGAATTTTGATAAGAAACAGTTTCAAACATAGCCTCAAAATTGTCATCACTTATTACTCCCATTACAAATAACAATGTCTTTCTTCCCTTCTACAGTTCTAGTAACAGTGTGATCATCAGTAAACAATGTTTATGAGTATACAAAAGATAAAGGGTATAATAATATAACTTGAACAAGGGCATAAGCAAAAGTACTCTAAGATGCCAGAAAATATTACTTGTTGGGAATTGACAAAGAAAATATCTAAAGTTCAGAAGGCCCTTACTGTCTTGAAGGCATCTAGAGCAGCACAATCATCTGTTGACACCAACAGCTCTCCCAGATCCAGAAATGCCTGTAAAAATGTACGTTGGTGAATAAACCTCGGTAATTTGTGAGATGAAATCATCAGATACTGTGTGTTCCTCTGAAATCATGAAAAAGACGTGCTAGACAGGACAATGCCGACAACAAAAAGGTTAACCCTATGAAGCAAGGATTCGGCTACAACAAGACACAAATACAAAATCACCCACTCATATTCTGGAAATACAGAAAGAAATATTAAAAATATGTATTTCAAATTTCCAATCAATAACGCACAATTTTATAGAACATACCCAAATGGATTTATCAAATTCAGTGTGGATTCAGCCTCAGAAACATTCCAATGTGATCTAATTTCATAAGCTGACACAATTTTTTTTGCAAAACTGGCACACAGGACACGTCACAGACATGTCAAATCTAATTCTTGGAAATTACACTTCTATATATTATCTTGATTTTTATAATTTTTTAGTTGTCAATAAAATTAGTACATTTCTTTGATTTTGAATTCGTCATTGGAATCCTTTGAATTATGGGAGTAGCTATTCTTGTACTAAGATAACATTGCGTCGTAATATTTGTTACTAGTGCCAACAAAGTTGGTTGATCCAAATGAAATTTGACCTATAATCATTTCTAAAAGGTCAGGCACTTCCTAACTTTCATTGGCAATGGAAAGACAATAAAATAGAAATGAAGACAACACATAAAAATAGATGTTCTACCAGCATTCTGCTATTTATAAGAAACAGCATCTCCTAATAGGTGAGGTTAGGTGACTCAAATGCATTATAGGTTGGTATTGCAAGTCCATCCAAAACACATGATGATTTTATTAGAAAGAAAATGTTTACTTCATATTTAGTTGATAGACTTGGGAAAATATAGAAGCACATCAATTTGATCTCATATTTATATTTCGAAAATAAGGTTTTTATGTCCTGCACTTACAATACAAGTATAGCAATATCACCAAACTGGATAACTGACATGACAGTTACCTGAGGATCTCGAGGATCGACTTTGGTAGCTTTCTTAAAATGTTCTTGGGCCTTCTCGTTTTGCCCAAGTTGAAAATATATGTGTCCAAGAGCCTAACTCAAAGCAAATACAATTTTAGTTTGGTCAAGTACAACCCATGAAGAGTGAATATGTAGAAAAAATTTATGTAGAAAAAATTCAAAACCAGATGTCATGCTTCAATGCTTGTTTACTCTCACCTTCAATGTCTCGCAATTTTCTGGTTGAACCTCCAAGACTTTCTCGAAATTTGACAAGGCACTTCTCAGGTCTCCCAATTTCATTTGAACCTGCCCCAAACCTATTCCAAGGAAGCAAAAATTTTCAATGAACTGATGCTGAATAAGAGAAGCTAAACATGAGAGAATTTCCAGGAAATTTCTTCATAGCTTCCACATAGCATGAAATTACTGTTTGGAATGGCATTGCAGATCTCAGTCAACAGATTTATTTTAGTTTATTTTATGACATGAGAATGCACAGTTCATGCGCAGTCAGAGAATGTTTCAAAGCACAAATCACCAGTTGGTTGTCTTTTCACCAAGTTCACCACTCCAGCTTTCCTTAAAGACAAGATAGAAGACAGGCACCAAATCTAAGGATGCATAAGGTCAGATAAGGTTATATTAGATGCATGGCAAATTGCATAATATTATGCCTTTGTTTGAGCCCCATTTTTTGAAAAAATAGATTTTTTAACAGTGATGTTTTTGAAAAATGTGAGGTTAAAAAGTACGGAAAAGTACGTGCAAAATTATTTTATTGGAAAATGTGTTGATGAAATTGAGTTTGGCGAAAAATGAATTTTTTAGAATGAGGCTCAAAACAGAGGCTATGTATATTTGACTTTCAGAGGCAAACAAATAGCAGCCACATACCGTTTACTCAAAAATCAAGGATCATAATATGAATATCTATCATTTCATTTTAAGGTGCAAAAGCTTCTTTTATCACAGTAAAACCAAGATTTTGTTCTTCCATTTTTATTCATTCCGTCCCATTTAACTTGTAAATGTTAAGCCAGAAACTGAAGTAGAAGTACGTTCATCTATGGATATCAACAAAAGCTGCAGAACCACCTGGACATGTGGTCAGCAAAAAGTGGTAAAAAGGACAACACCTACTTGGTTTCCTTTATTCAGTTTACTCTCTTATCCCATTTTTATATCCCATGATTGTCCAAACCAGGATGCACAGAATGAAAACCTACTTCACATATTGACTTCATATGGGAATTTAAAAAATGCAATTACTGTCACCAATTTAACTTCATGGGCAAGTGGACCTTGTTGACCTGATCTGTTTCCACCTCGACCTAAATCACCTACCTGGCAGTTCGTGGAATATGGAGCATGTGAGATTCTTGCACCAGAAGTGTATAGTGATGTGCTAAGGTCTTTAACACTGGACTTCAGACTCTTCATTCATATGTCAGTTCCCCCCACCCCCTCCTTTATGGCTTGTATCTCATCCTAACTGACAAGAGGTCTTATTTTTAGTTATGCTTATCTCCAAATTTCTACATAATAACAATGACTACAACATTTCAAATAAAAAAAAATAGAGATTATATAGATTTAGACATTGGTAAACAAAATAAGGTTCAAAAGTATGTCCTTGCAATTAGCATTTATTCATGCTTAATCATAGCCCCATAGATGAACTATAATTATTGACATATATACTCAAAAGGATTTTGATTCCTGTGGCTGATTGAATTATTATCTATACATTATTATTTGTTTAAAAGGAGATCATGTTAAGAATTTAATTTCTTTCATATTATAATTATTCATCATGAATATGAATTGCCTACTAAATCCTTATATTCTAGGTATATCGTTGTCATGGGATGATGTGTACAATTTGAAATGCTACATTTACATTGCAAATGAATTTTTTTTCCCACTATAATCAATGAAATTATTATTTTTTGTATTATTAAACCATTGGTGCAACAAGTGATCCAACAGTTACTACTGACCACCGAGCTTGTCCTACATCTGCCATATTTTTCATTATTGACACTAAGTTACTAACAGAGGGTAACGACTAGTGTAAAACAGAAGGCAAGATATACCCACCATAGTAAGGCAAGATAAATTCATGAGGCTTATTGCTTTCTTTTACGGACGCCATATAATACATTCCAGCCTTTTCATAGTCCCCCTGAAATCAAGCAAAAAATTAGACCTATTATCAGCATGGGTAAAGGGCAAAAGGAAAATAATTGTAAGGTCAATAATTTATCGAGTTGACATAGTCCATCACTGGCAACTAAATGAAATCCATGGTCACCTAAAGTAGATGAGAAAATCATTGAGGTTATTTATTAAGCAGGAGAAAAGAAGAAAGGTGAAATTCTCCTATTTTCACCGCACAGATTTTACAAACCAGGATTGATGATCTAAAGGCAAACATAAATATAATATCAACCTTGCTATGGTAAGATCGAGCTAAATTGTAGTAAGAATGTGACTTTGTTGGGCCATGTGTAGTTACAGCAAGTGCAGTTTCAGTCAGTTGCTCAACGAGGAAATGTTGACCAGTAAAGAAGAAATGATTTGCCAGATAATTCAGTGACATGGCACAGTATGGATATATCTCGAAAGCCATCTGCATCTTTTCCATTCCACTTCTGATAGTAGAAGCTGCAAACAAGTTTGGCACAAGTAGAAAGATTTCATAAACTATTGCCAAAACAAAATTCATAAACTTGAACGATCCTCCAGCATCAAAACCAGATTTATCCCAGAACTACATCGTAGAATCAAGAACTCCACAATTAAGATCTGTTTAAAATCTAAAATGACAATGATGCTAAAAGTTGGTGAAACTTAACTGTCTGAGAATCATCATTAAGCAGATATCTTACTCATTGTCACCACTAGTCAGACATTCATTCCCATCCAGTAAAATTACGTGCTAGTAAAAACTCGTGTCTAAAACTTACCGTAAATGTTTCCGTATATTTACAATTTACATATTTGTAAAACAAAAATTAACCTTCATTAGTTTGCAGATCTGAAATTCCCAGTGCCACAAGAGCCTCAACATTTTCTGGATCTAACTGCAAATTATAGATTGTCAAAGTACAAGCCCACATTAAAATTATTTCAAGTAAAATGAAGTCGTAGTTTACAAGCTGAGTTAATGCACAAAGCAACGGTCAGGAGCAACTTGCCTGTAAAACACGACGAAATGCTTGTTTTGCCTTTTCAAGATGACCCAATTTGTAGTGACAGAGAGCTATTCCAAGTCTTACAGCTGCGGGACACCGAGGATACACTTGCAAGGCCCTCTGACCAATCGGATATAATTTAATAGGAAACAGAAACATAAAACCAGGTTCACAGCTCAAGGTAACAGAATAAAAACCGTAAGTTTTTCAAGAGAGGACTCCTCTTTCCCCAGCCCACAACCACCGTCCCAAAACACTAAACTGGTAACATTTCTATCAGAAAGTACAAAAGAAATGGGAAAACCTTATACAACTCCAATGAATCACTATATCGACCACGGCTAAAGTGGAAACAAGCCTGCAGATAAATAGATGATTGTTAATTGCTACAAAAGCGACAATTCAATTCTTAGAAATAACAAGCCCACAGTGTTATAAAGCACATCAGCCTGAGACTTATATAGCTTATCCTGAAATGCAAGAATATGCATACAGTTGAGAGACTTAAAAAGGCAAGATTAAAGACGAGAAGGATTGGGCAGCCGCGGGGGGGGGTGGTGTTAAGGAAATAAAGGAGAGTTCACGACTTGTATTTCCAATCCTCACAATTTTAAGGTTGAGACGAATTGAATAAAACATACAGAAACACCCCCAAATAAGATGGAAAATACTAGCATTCGGTAAGGGAATAAGTAAACAATATGCCCTTTCATATCTTCCAATTTGCCTCCTACAAAACAACTAAAATGAAGAGAAATATCTTTAACCTGAGCGAAGGAGTCAAACAACAAACCTTCCCCACCCCCACCAACAAAAAGAAAAAGAAAAAAGAAGGGAAAAAGAATTTCTCTTCCTACTAAAAGTATCATCTGGTTGTACCAAACTATTCTAAAAGAGCAAGGAATAGAAAAGGAGAGAAGCAAGATAAGAGTAGAGGGAATTTGTGGGACAGGAAGAGAGTTTTTAAATAACTGGGATGCACCCTGACCATTCAAATCCGTTTATTAAAAAGGCACAATCGAGCATGTCTTTAAGCTACTTTCCAAACAAACATAAAAGTAAAAATAAAAAATATCCGATTAAATTATTAATAATAAGTCATTTTACAAAAAGAGCATTACAATGCAAGTACCTGACCAAGAAGAGCTGGAACGTTATCCCGGTCTCCATCCAGTACAATCTTGAAAGCGTTAAATGCTTGTTCAACATCACCCTTGGCCAGTAAAAGCTGACCTGCAAAAGAGAATGCATGCAAGCATTATAAACAAATCATAAGCTGGCAGAGAAGAAATACAATGATGAAGGAATCCAAAAACCAAACAACAAGAGAACTATTCAAAAAATTATCATATATGCCAGAGAAGCAGTTAATGGACTTAACTCTATAGAGCCAAGAAAATCCTTGCTTCAATTGATGCCACTCAACCATCATTCAAATTTCGAAAGAAAAATTATAATTAAGAACACTCAACAATTTTTCCCTCCGCCTTGAAAGAAACCTGCACTTTCTGTATATGTGCAAATGAAAAGACCTCAGTTTGTTCATGTTCACATGTACCGTCAAGCTCAGCTCATTTGAACCCTTCAATAAAAATAAATATTCCCTTTTTCTTCTTGTCACTGCCTTTAGAACTTAAATGCAGGATTCAAGTACCTTGACAAAGTAATCAAGATCAAAATATGCAACCAAGTCCACAAAATCTTCCAATGCTAGAAGTGGTGTACGACTTCACTCTCTCTGTCCTCCCATGCACACAGCATGACGAAAGTCTTCATAATTTTTTTAAATTTTGATGAGTTACTACTGAAAATGTTAATTTCTCTCAAACTGTAAAAAAAAAATCGGCAGTTTAAAAGTGTAGATCTGCCCCCTTTGAATTTCAGAGTTCTCAAGAAGGTAAGTTTCATTTACATTATATATGATATTTTTCGTTGGATGTCAAGAATTCTAACACAGTATGACCATGAACCATCCCAATTGGAAAGATTATTTCAATTCATGATGAGAAGATAAGATTAGCAAATTGTGGTGACTTTGATGGTTCGTAAAGATAATTAATGCCAAAAGGTAAAACGTTAGCAATTGACATATCCTTGAAATTTTCATCTTATGCTCATTCCATCTTCCATGTCAGATGATATATTTGCAGGGATAAATTCCAAAATACAATGTGCCACTCCGATTTTCAGGTATCTTCTCGTTTCAAGGCCACATGTATGCTATAAACAGTGGCAGCAATACATGGTCATTTGCAAGACATTTTTTCCAGTACAATGCCCCAAGATCATAAAACACATTTCTCTGGACCTTGAGAACAGTGTGTATAATTGAAAAATGATATGATCTATGACTATATGTCTATGATAGTCAATGTAATCTAGATTTACAGCCCAAGCACCACTAAGTAACAAGAAGCAGTGAAAGGCTGTTTACCTTTCCCAATCCAAGTTGAAGGTTCATGCATGTCAATTCTTGATGCCTTGTTATAGTACTGTGTCGCCATAATATAATGCTCTTCCTTTTCTCTTTGTTTTGTCTCTATTTTGCCAAGATAGCTGTAATATGCCCCCAAAGCATTTAGAATGGCAATCCTCTCATATCTCACATCTGCATAATATTCGTCGATTTCTGCAGAACAATAACCTTCATCAGAATCTAACATAAGAAATGTTTTTTATCATCTAGAAGGAATGTCAGCAAATCAACATAATGAGAAGAAAGTTTACCTGGGCTAGACCCTTCTTCCAATATTTGTCGAAACTGTTCAATTTTACCTTGTTTGAAGTACTCCCTCTGCAACCAAACTAGCAATCATACACAACATACAAACCCGGTACAAGTACAAAAATGTGCCAGTTTCCAATCCAAATTTATACCAAATCCTGAATCTATAACCAGCTCTTATACTTGGAACATGAATAACAAAAATTAGAAGTATCAAAGACTTGAGCTTCCTGAACACAAGTTACCACTGTACATGAAACATGGCAAACCTCTCACAAAGTTAGGAGTCTAAGTGCTTATTTGTGAGAAATTTTAATGGGATTATAATGAAAAGGAGTAGTGGATTCCATGAATTATGTGAATAATAAATGGATAGTAGTGATGAATATGAGGTTAAAATTAATATATGACTTTGACTTCAAACTATAATGCTATTATATTTTCTCCCAACAAGCACTAAACCTCAACCAGAACTCAGTAGATTAAAATTGAGAAAATAAGTTAAATGCACGCTCATAGATGCTTATTTCTTATCCTACTCTTCTGAAAAATGGACACCTTGAAACTTCTCAAAATGTAAGTAGATACCAAAATACAGAATCCTGCTGGGCGCTTATTTAATTATGCCAAATGCATCAAACTTTACAATCAATAATGTCAAGAAATTTCTTTTACCCATACCTAATCATACGTGTGATTCACTACAAGTAGATATACACAACACAAGATGCACGAAATGTAATTCGAAATCAGAATTTCGCCTTAGCAAACATCTATTTTTGCACACACTAAGTACAACCCAAAAAACTGTGCACAACTAAAAGATTTTTTAGAACGCTTCCGTACATACCAATGTATATCCACAAATAATACACAAAATTCAAAAACAAAAAAGTCTCATTTCGATGACAAATTCACACACATAAAAAACATACACAAATATATATAACACTCAAATGTACCTCAATTTGAACGCAAAAGATATAACTAAGTACCCAAATGTATACATAGATATGCCCACCAAGTAACCAAAAAATTAACCTAAAGTCGAACTTGAATCCAAAATCAATTCAAACACAAATTCATAGATAGAAACAACCAAAACCATTTAATTCTTCATATAAACAAAAAATAATCGGTACACCCTTATTCCAGCACAACATAGTCGAACATTTGAAAACAATTACATTCCTGTCCATATGAACTGATATAATATAACTGACCAATTAGCTGTCTATGAATAAACTTACGGCAATAATGAGCCAGAGGTCGAGAGGAGCCTGCTCGGCCTTGAGAATATCGAGGATGTCTGTGGCGTCGCGGGGCAGCTGGTCCAGTGCCACTCGCACCTCCTCCTCGGAGTTCTGCACTGGTATGTATACAAACGCCATTCTTCAACAAATCAAATCAGCCTCAAAGATCAATCTATCTCAGTCTCAACTGCTCAACTGAATCAGAAACTTTCAATCCCCATTCAAACACGCAAATTAGTCATTCCTATGACTAAACCCTAGAACCCTGTACTCGAAAAAATTAAAAGATGATTGGGAAATTTTTTGTTCAGTTGTAATTTGGTTTTTGGAATTATTAATTTTTGCTCATGAGTAATTTTAGAGCACCTTTGGCATTTAGACAACTTTTTGGATTATAATTTTTGGATGACTTAGTGTTTATTGAATCGACTAATATTTATGAGACCAATTATATTTTTTCGGTCACCGATCGACTAATTGTATTGGACCAACTCATATTTATAAGATCGACTATTTATTAGATCGATTGATTGTTATATTTATCCCTAGATAGCAAATTTTCATTCAGAATGTAACCATGAATATTAGAGAAAAAATAATAAAATATTTTTTATTAATTAAAACTAATGATAAATAAATAAATTATTTATTTTGATAATAACTTAAAATTATTTTTGAAAAATTAAATTTTCTGCAATAAGGTAATAAAATGGTAAATCATACAAATATATGTATGTAACACAATAAATTTGGTTGGAATCCCATTTTTCCATCAAAATGAATTTTTGAATAGTAATTTGACCACAATTCAATTAGAGATGGCAACGGGACGGGTTCAAGATGGAGCACCATCGCCCCGCCACGCCACTCTCTGTTGCTCCCTGCCCGCCTTAGACTGGGCGGCGAGGGGGCTGCCCGTTTCCTGCCTTTTCTGTGTCATCCATTAATGAGGAATGGGCAACTTTCTTCTCCTCATCGATAATCTTCTCAACTTTGGGAACCACAAAATTCTTCATTGCACACGCAGTCTAGTATGCAGCTTTCTTTACACATGTAATCTCATTTTTATCCTTCACCGAGAAGAGATCAGACAACCCATTTGATACGTCACTAAGCTGGAGGCCTGAATTTTCACAACTCCAACAATTTCCCTTCTGGAGCTTCTCTAGCAATATGTCCAACTATTGGGGATACCATCTGGTTTTAAATGAGAACGAATACCACGAAGCACGGCGTCCATTTGAATACTACCATCATCACTTTTAGCCTTAACATGCATGACAATATCTACACCCACAACCTCCTTAGCAGACCTTTTCACAACTTTAACATGCATGACAATTTTTTTTATTCTTCACGGGCAGGTTCGGGGTGGGGCATCCCCGCCAGTGCCGCGACCCGAGTCGGGGCGGGGGAAAATTGCCAACCTTAATTTCAACCATGCTATTTTAATAAAATAATATTACAAACAAATATAAAATTTTTTCTTATTTTTTAACCACACAATCGTTATCATAATATTATTGCAAAATGCATTTTTGAAAAAAGAAAAAGAAAAAAAATGGGCTCAAACAATATAAATTTTTTTGCAATCAAAGTTAAAAAGAATATATATATATAGACACAGATGTAAGAATGTTTTTCAAAAAATTTAAATTTTTATTTAAAAGTGGAAGAAAAGTAAATTATCTAAATACATTTGTAAATAAAAATTTATTTAATTTTTAAAACAACCAAAAATATGTTTATTAACTTCTCTCTTTTCTAATAATAAATATAAAATACTTGTACATTTCCTCTAATACCGTGTAAACTAATTATACTGGACGATTAAAAATATATAATATCAAAATATGCAATGAAACTAGTCAAAACTATTTACTTAGGGCCAAGTTCGTCTCTCCTTTCGTCCAATTTCACATTAGATGTGAACCTTTAAATTAAAATCCAGATTTTTTTTCTTTTAGTTTAAATTTAGTTCAATTAAGACAATTTGACTTTAACTATAGACCAAGTTCGTTCCCCTCCCAACATGACTTGACTTGTAACTACAATGACACAAATGTTAACATGTCAAGCTTTAGACCCGTGTTGGTTGAAATGCTATGGCATGAACACTACCCAAAGGGGGACGGAAGCAAGACCGTATGTTTACTTTGGATGGAAGGCAAGTGATGGGCCAATTTGCCTTGACTATAGACCAAAGTTCGTTCCCCGTCCAACATGGCCTGACTTGTAACTACACCAACACACTCATAACGTTAACATGTCAAGCATTAGACCCGTGTTCATTGCAATGCTATAGCCTGGGCACTACCCAGAAGGGGACAGAATCAAGACAGTATTTCAACTATGGACAGTGTGCATGTGATGGGCCGATTTGACTTGACTATAGACCAAGTTCGTTCCTTGCCCAACATGGCTTGAATTGCAACCGCACCGGCACGCTCATAGTGTTAGAACGCCAAGCGTTAGAGCCTGTGTTAGTTGAAATGCTATAGCATGGACAGTACCCAGAGGGGAACGGAAGGAAGCAAGACAATGTCAACTTTGGACGGAATGCATGTGATGGGCCCATTCAACACAGAACAAAAGCAAACCAATATATGTTTACTAGATAGCAGCACTGCATGAACCGAGTTGCCCACTAAGTATTCTATGCAAGTGTCCAAGCAATCTACTTTAAACCTCTATAGCCAAACATAGTTCGTTTCATCAAAAAAATATGCATCTGTCACTGCTAGGGGTGAAGAAAAAAAAATTGTAACAGAAGTCAAAAACCTAAAAAAAAGGAGAATAAATTATTTCTGGTAATTACAACATGATAGTAATGCCGAAATACACCGATGGAAAATCAGACAAACCATGCTAATTAATACAGAATCATATGTCCCACCTCTTCTTAACACGGAACATTAAAACAGATGATTTGATATCATCTTGTGGAACTTGGAGCATGAATTGCACCTTCATCTTCATTGGAGCTGTCTTTGCTTTGCCATCTTCATCTCCAACCTGGAACCATATGGATTGTTGCACATCAAAATTTTGTTTCTCAAAAACATACGTCAAACTCGTCTGCTTAACTAAATGTCACCTAATACGTGATAGTTACTATTTCGCTCAGGTAGTTACTATTTCGCTCAGGTTCTGACGACAGTAAACTTCAATGGGTTTCCATGATATACTAATATGAGGATTGATAAAAATAAGAAAACAAGGAAAAAAGATTCACGACATCACATCAGTTGTTCAATTTAAAGAAAGTGAGTTATGTTGTAAGATAATTATTGATCTATACCAGTATATAAATTCGAGAGAGGGAAGGACTCAGAAAATTTAACAGCACTCAACTTTGGTTTCCTCTACATTTTCATCTTCTGTACCCGTTAAACGGATGAAATTCTGACTTGGGCACTTGGCCAAAAGCACCACTTGTAATGTTTGTGCGGCACTTTCCCAACATCAAGAATTACTTATGACAAACTCTGAAAAGGTTTCACCGCTCTTTAATGAAAACTAAAAAAATCCAATAGCTTAAGTTCAACCATGCTGATTGGACAGCTAGAAGTTCCTAATTGTTGTTTCATTCAAGTCACTTACTACAGAACAACTTACTCTTGCTTGGCAAACTCTTGATGGGTAATTTAGATTACTATCCTTGATTTTCCCTTGAGGAATGATTGCACAAATGTATAAAGAAAACCCGGATAAAGTAGCATCTTAGTTTCAGTGAAATTTACGAGAGTAATTCAAAATGGAGGCATCATCACGAGAAGGGTTGGTATTTGTTCAGACCATGTTATTTCACATGAAAAGAAAATAGACTGAGCAAATTGAAAAATGAAATTGAGAGTCAAAATATAAGCATAATAAAATTAGAAACTTACCCAGAGAGACGCCCATCCAAGTCGCACGTCAGAATCATAACCAGCTTTAAATTTGTAGTCCTTCCCAGCTGTATGTTTATACACGGCGCTCCAATTGTTTGAGTCAAAATAGTACCAGTAACTGACCACACAAACCAATAAAGTTTATGATCACTACCTTTTGTCTAGTTGACGTAATGTAGTTTACCGTGATAGTTAAGTGAAAAAAAGTATCTTGAAAGGTTCTTCCAGGATGTTAAGAGCATCAAAAATTTATGTTGCATCTTAATGGAACTTCAACCAATTTTAATAGTTATACCTAGGACTACGAGTTGGCAGAGAGGGGAGAGAGAGAGAGAGATCACCTCAACTTGTCTGAAGGACTGCATCTCCGTTTAAATGCGCATGATAGTGCATTTGAAGGCAGAGAAATGCTTGGAATGAACGTCAATTGCTCATCCTACAACACAGAAATTCTTAAAATAAATTCACCAGGAAACAGGTTTGCAGAATGATAATAGTTGAAGTTAGAACACCTGCATAAAAGAACAATCTTAATCAACAAAGTAAGCAAAGTTGATAGTCAGATGGGCAAAATAAGATATAAAAAATCTCTGAAAACAAACATGAAAGGGAAAAAAATTATCATAATATGTTAAAACGATTGTGAGTCAAATAAAATTATAAACTGTGACAATAAATCTTTGCCAAAGTCAACAAGAAAAGAAAGAAAGAATAATATCCTTCGTGGAAAGAATGTCAGAAAGAAACTACCTTGTATGCATATCTTAAATTCAAATTTTCTTCATGGTATCGAGCAGTACAAACTCCATTCAGAATATGGCTTTTAATAATCCCATTTACGGACAGAGTTCTTTTTTGTTCCTCTTCTTCCTCCTCACTCTCCTCAAATGAAACTTCGCCAAGAGGAAATTTCAAGGTTGCTCTTGGCTGCAGCACAAAAAGGGCGTAATGCAGTAAGAAAACTTAAATGTCTCCTAGCTATATTTAAAAATGAGAAGAAGAGAAGAGAACACATAGTAGTAGAATGGCTGAAATCGAAAGAATGACTATGTAAAAGATGCTCGAGGTATAAACTTCGTGTAGCACAATAACTAAGACCCTTTGCACCTGAAGTCCATAAACTTCAAAAAGATACCAGTATCAAAGGTAAGAAAAGTATAAGGTCTTTCATCATTTTCCTAAGGTGAATTACAAATAGATATCACATAACTAGATATCAAGAAGATAGATTTATAGCATCTGGCTCAATTTAAATAGGACATGCCTATTAAAGAAATCCTGTGATGAATAATTCTCACCATGCCAACAGATGGAACAGCAGAAGATAATTCAAATTTGTAGGCTGGAGTCCCAAGATCTGCAACCATTGCAACCTCTCCTTGTTGAGCCTAAAAGTTACACAGAAGTCCTGTAAGCAAAAGAGCATGCAGGACGGGCAAAGAATTGTATAATGTCTACCTAGACACTTAAAAAGATATTGCAAACTACGCATTGTCGACCTTCTCTTTTAAAATGGTTAGAAAACTATTCCATCTCTCATTCTGGACGCAAAATGTTGCTTTCCCATGGATCGTCATAGGACTGTACTACCAAAAATAAGTCACTTTCTCAGTATGTAATCATCCTTTCAGTTTACTAAAATTGTCTACCTTTTTACTCCTGAGTTTTAAAATGTCAGATCTGAATTCAGAAGAACAATAGTAGAGAACCTAGTATTCTAGGGACTATGTCTTTCGGGTTAAAATACACTTTAAAATTTTACAGGAAAAGGCAGAGCCTATAGTTAAACTGGTGTTAACTAACCCAAGAGGACATAACAGTCCCAGCCAACTAGTAAAGTAAATTAACAAAAAAGATTATTGGAACAGTAAGAAACTTCTAACATTTTTTTTTCAAAACCATAAGCCGTATCAAAGAATTCGACCGTCATTTTCGAGAAAAAGTTAAAATAATAAAGAAATTTGTAATAACAATCTGGGAGCTCTCATCTAACAATCGAGTAAAATGGCTGCATAACCTTGAAATTAAGATAATTGGTCAGTGGCAATTATGAATGGTATTTTTCAATTTGCTCCCCGGGCATTGACATATTCAACTAGCAACAAATATCCAAAAGTTCTATTTGAATGGACGAAGAAATTATCCCCTTCTGCATTTATTCCAAAACATAGATAAAATGCTAAAGTAGTTAAACATATCTGATTGATATGAATCATCAATCATCACAAAAGCCAAATAGAACATTAAATTAGAAATGGAGGAAGTAAAATTCATCCTCTCAAAATTTAAAAAGAAAAACCACTCCTTACCGAATTCAATAAAGTCAACACATTTATATGTATTCAGATACTACGTGTAAACCAACAATTTGCACAATTCGAAAAAAGATATAGGATAGATAGACCTTGACTCCGTGGGCCGCTCTGAACTGGAGCCCAGGCACGACATCAAAAGACGCCTTGAGGAGAGCATCGCTTTCTTCAAGATCGTACTGCAGTGAAAAGTATTTTGAAGTAAACGAAATTTGGGGTTCGGAAACTTCGCCTTTGCTATTGTTCTGAAACGAGAGCTTGAATTTTGCCAGATTATCCAATAACTTGCAGGAGACCTTGTGCAGGAACGCTGAGCTGTCACTGTCGTACTCCGTGGTCACGCGGAGTTTCGGCCGGCCCAACTGGAAAAATCCCCCGAGAACTCCATTGTTGGCGGCGGCGGTGGCCGGTAGTGACGGCGGAGATTGGGCGTCGGAGTCTACTTCAACCATTGGTGTTGCTTTCGGTAGAGGTTTTTTTTTTTTTTTTGGCACTCCAGTAATAATTGGGATTTTTTGGGAAATATATAAACTCCGGCACTTTAGGCGGAAATGTAGAGGGAGATTGGAATTTTTTGGGGGTAAATTTTATTGGAAAATACGATTGAATACTGACTACAAGGGCCCTCTCTCTCTCTCTCTCTCTCTCTCTCTCTCTCCTTCGTCTTCTACTTATCGATATTGGGTGATATCATTTATGGGAGGTTGGAAAAATTAGTACCTATTAATTTATGGTTCAAAACCAACGAAAACTTTTAAGTTAATATTTTTAGTATATAAATTTACATATATGTTATTTTATTCGTTTTTTAATGTTACACTTTTTTTTAAAATAACCTTTATTTTGTATGTGCATAACTTTTTGAGTTATTGTACGCTTTCAAAAAAATATTTAGTCCACATTTGATTCAACTGAAAAATTAAACTAAAATTAGTTAAAATTAAATTAATGTTAATTACACATTTTATGGCATTCACAATTTTTCAACCGCACATTCCATAATTTTTTATTAAAATTTACTAAAATCTGATTTTATCTAAACCAAATAGGGCTTATGTCAGCAGTTTGGGTGGCATTGCCCCATGTAATGATGCAATCCTTGCATTGGGAACTCATAAAAACTCTCCAACGGTCTCTTGAACACTTGGTACAGAGGATACAGAATCTGATGGTTCAGTAACGAAACTGAAGGATGTTAATAAGAATTCGATTGGGAACTCTGGTAATGAGAAAGCTCCCTGGGTCAACCTGTTTAAGGATAATCGAATTTGTGAGGACAACCTGAAACTGAAAACTGTCCTTACACCTTCTGAGGAGATAGTTGTTCTTGAAGCTGAGGCTGATAAAATTGAGGCTGCTTGGGGCTTTGGCCTTGTTGGGTTCTTTATTGGAAAATTTCCAGGCAAACAAGCACTCCTCAAATTATGTGACTCTTGGAATGTTAAGTATCAGTATTTTGTACACTCCAGTGGATGGCTGATTTTCAAATTTGAAACGGATGCGGAGAGGCTTGGTGTCTTGCATGGAGGTCTGTATTTTGTATTTGGTAGACATCTGACACTTAAAATGATGCCTGACCTCTTTGAATTTGATAATAAGGAGGTCAGTATGATGCCAGTATGGATTAACCTCCCGAGACTACCGTTGGAACTATGGAATATCAATGTGCTAAGTAAGATTGTTTCCAAAATTGGCACGCCTATTTCTATTGATAAAGTCACTTTTAACAGAGGTAGACTATCCTTTGCAAGAGCCCTGGTGGAAATAGATGCTTCCAAGGAGTTGGTTAGGAATGTCAAATTGAGGCTATATAATGGCAAATTAAGGGAGCATGAAGTCATTTTTGAATACGAACCTAAATTCTGAGGAAATGTGTTGTTTTTGGTCATTCAACCACTGGATGTAATTACAAGAAGCCGAAGCAGGGGGAAACAGAGGAGGTAACTAACAAAGGACAGGATACCAGGAAAACGGTTAATGAGGCACACATGGAACATAACTCTGCAGCTACCAAAACAACTAATCTGGCAGAAGGGAAAACAGATGACCGGAATACAAATAAACAAACTTCAGACAGTAGTGCAGTGAATCTGAACAGCATACTGCGAAACCCTCAAACAAGGCAGATGAGAAGAGCTTAAATACTGAGCAACTTGAAAAGGAAACAACTGGTATGTTGGAGGCGGAACAGAATAAAGAGGGGCGGTTCAATGAAGTTAGGAATAAGAAAAAATCTATGAAGAATAAGGGGAATGTACTGAGAAACAAAGCCAGTACTAACTCCTCCATAGCTCAGGCAGACAGTGTGGCGGGGAATGATACTCGAAAAGATACCTCTACAACTGAAATGTGTAAAGGTAAAGAGGATGGGAAGGTACAACAAAAAGCCAAAACAAGGGATAAGAAAAAGGGGAATACCCTTTTTTCATCATCATCATGATTTGCTGCACTTGGAACATTAGGGGCATGAACAACCCTTAAACAGAATGGTGTTCAGCATTTTGTGAAACAACAGAATACTGATGTACTGGGTATTTTGGAAACCAAGTTGAAGATGAATAAACTTGATCGTATCATGCGAAATAAGTTTGGAAGTTTCTTGCAAACCAACAACTTTTCCTGTCATAGTGCTGGACGTATCTTAGTGTTATGGAATCCTTCAAAAGTGGATTTAGAAGTTTTCGAGACCACCCCTCAAATTATTCACTGTGCCATTACCTGCAAGGTAACCTCACTTAAATTCATGGTTAGTTTTGTCTATGCGTTTCATTCAATTGTAAGTCGTAGGCCACTCTGGGATAATATTGTGAAGTTTGGATTGGAATGTACCTTACCATGGTTGATAGTGGGTGATTTCAACAATGTACTCTACTCTAATGAAAGATGCAATGGCACTGCAGTTACTCCTTATGAAGTTAGAGATTTTGAGAATGTTTGTTCTAGTGTAGGACTTACGGATGTGGGTTCTATAGGGTGTTTTTATACTTGGACTAACAATTCCAAGTGGAGCAAAATTGACAGGGCAATGTTGAATGACATATGCGTGCAAAAGGGATATAATAGCCTAGCTAATTATCTACCGTCAGGATGCGCCTCTCGGACCACTTACCTTGTATTGTTTCTCTTTTTGGGAATGGGAGCAACAATAAGAGACCGTTCAAATTCTTTAACATGTGGACCAACCATGAAAAATTTCTCGAAGTGGTGCAAAATTATTGGGATGTTGAGATCAAGGGAACTAAACAATTCATACTTTGCAAAAGGTTGAAAGCTTTGAAAGGGGAGCTTCGGAGGTTTAATGAGAAGCACTATGCTCACATTTCTTCTAGAACAAGTATGGCTACCATGAACTTGAAAGAAGCTCAATTGAAGCTACATGATGATCCATGTAATGAGGATCTCCAATGTTATGTAGCTACTATGAGAAAGAAGGCCATGGAATTGGGGGAAACAGAGAGAAGCTTTTATTGCCAAAAAGCTAAGTGTGAATACCTTATTAAGAGTGATAAATGCACTAAAATTTTTCACTCTATGGTTCAAAGGAATGCTAGAAGGAATTTTATTGCCAAAATTTCTGAGGATGGTACTTTTACCTCATATTTGGAGGAAGTGGCTGACGAATTTATTAAATTCTATAGTGACAATCTGGGGAAAAAAATGCAGGGAACGCAATTTTATGACGATGTACTGAGGGGTGTTTCTAGGCTTCCAAATGAGAATGCTTTAACTTTGATTAAAGATATCTCGGAGGATGAAATTAAGTATGCCTTATTCTCCATAGGGGATGACAAATCACTGGGACCGGATGGATATTCTTCTTGTTTTTTCAAGAAAGCTTGGAGCATTGTTGGAAGGGATTTTGCGGAAGTGGTGTTGGAATTTTTCAATTCTAACAAATTACTTAAGCAAACTAACCACACGGTTATTGCTTTAGTTCCGAAGGCAAATCATGCTAATTCCGTTGGGGACTATAGGCCTATCGCTTGTTGTAATGTTTTCTATAAGGTCATCACCAAAATCCTTGCATCTTGGTTGGGGCCTTTGCTTGGGCCTATTATTGATCAAGCCTAAGCCGCTTTTGTTGAGGGAAGAAACATGGTGGAAAATATCCATCTTGCTCAAGAACTTCTCAGGCAATATAACCAGAAGATGGTGGCTCCTAGATGCCTCCTTAAAATTGACTTAAGGAAAGCTTGGATTTCCTTTGAAATTCATTGGTTGGGTTATGGAATGCATATCATCCCCTATACCCTCTATTGGACTTAATGGTGGACTTTATGGATTTATTAGGGGAAAAAGAGGGCTTCGTCAAGGTGACCCACTTTCCCCATTTTTGTTTGTTATTTGTCTTGAATAGTTTTCTAGGTTGATTAAGGAGGTGACTGAGGATAGTGAGTTTAACTATCACCCTAAATGTGGGCCTTTGAAAATCACTCATCTAGCATTTGCCGATGACTTAATGTTATTTGCAAGGGGGATCCTATCTCGGTAGGGATTATGATGGATTGTTTGAACAAATTTGGATACATGTCGGGGCTTCGGATGAATGTAACTAAATCCATCTTGTATACAGCAGGAGTGCATGGTCAAGAGTTGGAGGATATTCATTTAATTACCAACATGACAAAGGGTCCTATGCCCTTTCGCTATTTGAGTATCCCTCTCGTGGCGGAAAAATTGAGGGTTAGCTCCTATGATTTGTTTATCAACAAAAATTTCAAGTTATATTAGAGCGTGGTCTAGAACTACCTTGTCTTATACGAGTAGGGCGGAGCTTATTAGGGTGGTACTACAAGGGGTTCAATGCTTTTAGCTCTCTATTCTCCCCATTCCTTCTATGGTTATCTCGAAAATTGTTGCCATTTGTCGGAATTTCCTTTGGGGATCGAGGAAACCTTTAGTTGCATGGAGTACTGTATGCCTGCCAAAATGTGATGGAGGCCTTGGTTTTAGGGATATGAAGGTTTGGAACTTATCACTTTTGGCTAAGACACTTTTGAATATTCAATGCAAAAAGGATACTTTATGGGTTCGATGGATTAACCATGTCTTCCT